AACTAAACATGCTGGACATTTTAACAAGGAAGTATCATATTTTTAGAAATTGAAGTAGGACTCAATATGAAAAATTCAAAGGAAAAGTGTATAAGACCTTTCGACACTGTTATTGGATCTTAATTGTTGTGTGACTGGCATGATAACAAAGTTTGCCAGCTTAAAATTTCAACCCATATAATTATACTGAAATGCCAAATTCAAGTTTGAAATGCTGGAGATCAGCATTATCATACATACTCAAAAGAATGAAAATCTGGTATAATAAATCGATACACAATATTGCTTTTTACAACTCTCCAGATCTTGAATGTTTTATAACCACTACTGGCCTCATTAAAAAGAAAGTGAATGATCACTTTCATTTTCATGGAAGTACTTTTGGGAGTTTTTGACTTATCTGTTGAAGATATACTAGCATATTCTTCAGGTAATGCACAAAAATCGAGAGATAAAAGATGTTTAATTGCTATTGTAATCCTTTTAAAATACTACTTTTTTAAATAAGTGAAATTTGTAAGTAATTTCTGTAAATGAAATTCATACTATGTTAAGTATAAACAGGTTGATATTAATACACAGTGTTAAATGAGGAATTGATATAATTATGTTTTGCCTTTACTTATTTTTAAGAACAAATTTTTATCATGTTAGAAATCAAATAAAATTTGTTATCCTAATCGCTTGTAAAAGTTTTCAGCTGATTCCAAAATTTGATCCAAGTTAAGAATGCCAGTACTTCCAATAACTGACAAATATATAAATATGAAAAATTCTGTTTTCTATGGATGCTCTAAACACAGCATCAGTGGTGTGCTGTCTGTGAATTACAGGGACTAAACTAGTCCTAGTCCTCTGACATTTTCAAATATACTTTTACTTAACTCTTTCACGTCGAAGTCGCCTCAAATGCCCGAGCATTCAGACAGCGGCAAGTCGTTCAAACGCCTGAATAATTTCCTACTTAGTGCTTTCCTCCATCACATTAGTGCATTGCTTATTGCTTTCAGTTGTTAAATGACATGTCGGTCATTCTTTTCAAGTGACTAAAAGCAGTTCTGTTATTTTAATGCACCATCTTTTTCCTTTGTATACTGTCAGTGTTCAGCCATTGATGCCCCGAAGTTGCAATCCCACCCCACGGGAAAACTTCACATAGGATGAAAGCATCCATGAAAGAAGTTGTCGCTTTACTTAAGTTGGTTACTGTTAGCGCTATAGTATTCAATTTGTCATGGGCAAAAACCATTCCAACAGAAATTTGTATACACGGCTGTTTTCGATGTTTGAGGAAAAGAGATTTGGTCCTCTCGCGATGCAAAAGAGTTAACATTCAAAAGCATAAGGAAACATCATTTTACCTCTTTTGAAATGGCATGCTATTCAAATGTAATCGGGTTTTTACATGAAAGGACGGAGCTCGAATTGTGTTTACTGTATGCCAGAATAGACTAGCTCACTTTTGCCTGTTGCCCTTTCTGCAATAGACATGTTGTTAACTACTGGTGATAGATCATAAGAAATTTTATTTTCTTGTGATTCTTATAAGTGAAACTCATTTAACTTTTAGCTCTATATTTCAGTTTGCCTTCATGAAAACGTTATGATATGTGAAAGAATTCAACGTAAAATATATTGATGCAGTAATTCCAAATTTAAATTGCCAAGTGGGAAGAAGTATGAAAAGCTAGTTCTCGTGCAAGAAATCTAATGGCGCATGCACTAGTAATCTCTGAAGTCATTTCATGACAACGTACTTATCAGCTGCTGGTATCACAAACCTAAGGCCTCGACTGCCTGTCTATCATATTCTTTGGGGTAATATATTTTCAGAAGACACAAAAATAATAATAAACGGATAGATATACTCTGCATGTTCTCAGTTGTACAAGCAAGAAACATTATACCCATCATTATAAAGAATAATATCATATAATTTCAAAATGATGAATAATAAAAGTAAAAAACAGTCTAATTTGCTCATCTTGTGCTCTTTTTGAGATAAAATGTTATTAATTAATTATTATAACATCACTCATATTAATTTTTTTTTATTTATTATAGTATGGTTGTTTTGACTCCCCCTCTTTATCCAGTTTTCATAAATTTATCACAGCATATTAAACATTATCGTACTCGCGAGTCTTTGTATTCAAAATATATTAAAACAGTGTCATAACGACCTCCTTCCCAAAATAAAAACTTCTGAAAGTGACCATTATTTCGAAGAATTAAATGAATACTAGAACTGAATTTTACCTCTCTAAGACAATCATCGCCGTCATCCATGTACAGTCGTTTTAGAGAGGATTATAACTTTTCTTCATACTTAGTCCTCTTTGGAAAACATGCCACTGCACTGCATACTTCTGCAACATTTCTACACTGATGATCACATGCGGTATAGTGTGTTCCTTTTGTTGTGTAATAAAAGTGTAACTTATATCCATTCTCTTTCGGAGAAAGTGCAGAATCACCCACTGCTTGACGGACGCGTTTTTATGAATTACACATACTCGGTATCCGTATACACATCGACCTATTTTCATTTAAAAAAAAATCCTGGAATTGCACAAAAATGGCACTACGCACTTTATCCATCTACACATCGAACTATTTTCACTTAAAAAGTTAAAGAAAATTGACAAAAATCTAATTCTTACTCTTGTGAAAAGTGCCAAACAAAATAAGAATGCTTTCTATCACATATTGTATGTTAGTAAAATATTGTACACAAACTGTGGCTGATTATTGAGCAAGACAAAATTAAAGCTTATAAAATATGAATGTGAAAAATGGGTATAACTTATTTACACAGACAACACTAAAATATTTGTATTTATGTGCTTCAATCAATATATTAAGAAACATGAACAATTATTAATTAATGGTAAACAACATAATGTCAATTATAGATTCTAAATATAAAATTAAAGTGCTTGTTTAAAGTAGCTCTGTGGTAATTAATCTATACTTAATGACCAAATTTGCAAGTGTGAATTTTAAATGTAGCAGTTGGCTATTTTAATAAGAAAGTATAAAAATTAATTCATCATCAGATTTTAAGAATGTGTAATTATCTTTCAATTTTTGGGGTTGAGAGTAGTTGCCTTTGAACACATCTAGAAATTATACAGGACATGTTTTCTCAATCAATATTAATGTGTAACGTGTATACGAGCCAGTTTCCCTTAGAAAGTCCTCCACGAAGGCATCCCTCCCCTTAGGCAGATAGCCCTCGAGGCTTTGCCGTAATTAAATAACCTAACCTCAATCAATATTAAAAGCAAATTATCATATATTAATGGCTATTGCCTTTAAAATTATCACCATCCTCATATTACAAGTCAAAGATTAATTGAGAGACTATTACAGATGTAACCTAACTGAGGTTATTTAACAGAAGAAAAATTGAATGTAAGTGTAATAATGAATTAATATCATTCACACTTTCAGTAGTTTAAAGAACTCTGACTATCTAGGTAACTACAACAGCTAGGACTTTAAAACTGGCTCACATTCATTTTCAGGCACTCTTATTTTTCAATTTTATTTCCAAATATCAATTACAAAATAACATTATTTTTCTTTCACAGATACCACTGATATATATATATATTTTAAACTTGCTTTTTGTATTCAAACTTTTCTTGTAGATGCTTTCATTTTTCAGTAAGACTATTTATGTATTATTTCTACCGATACACATTATTTTCTATAAAAGTTACATTTCCCAGACCAGAGGCAGTGAAACATCTCCAAACCATTATACTTTCGTCCTCATGCTTAATAGTAAAAAATAGGTTTCTCAGATTCTATTATGCATTTAGGTTTCGCCACAAAAAAATTTGTTCATCAGACCAAAATATATTGATTCCTCTTTAAATATAGCATTGTTCCAATATGATAAATCTTTGCTTATTATGTATTTTAAAACATCAGAGGTATTTTCTTTGTCATCTTGTTAACAAAGAATTTCTTGCTGATTGCCCATTGTATTTAAGTGCATTTATGATTTTTCTAATAGGTTAAGAGAATGTAGACTAGACATCACTGCATTTTCAGGAAGTCCACACAGTTTATAACAAATTCTTGATATTATTTTAGGTTTAATTCTAGTAGACGGTACACATGGGATTTAGCGACATTTTGATGAGCAGTAAACGAGTTAAAATAAAAAATTAGAACCTGCAATATCATCTACTGAAAAACACAAAACTTTTCAGTATCTGATGTATTATATCAGTTACTGATTAACACTTTTTTGAATAGATTATTTCATTACAAAGAATGTTTTTATGATACTATTACTTTTTTTGAATAAATTATTTTATTATAAAGAATAGTTTGATGATATTTATTTTGAAGCAAGTAAGGTTTACATTAAGAGAAAAAATAGTATATTAGAAAAAAAAAAATAACTGAAGTTTATGTTTCAAAATTTGGTTCAATCCATGCAAATAAATTAAAAAAAGATATACATGTCCGAAAACAAATGTAAGCCACTGTATCTTTTTAATTATCCTCAAACAATAACAACACACTTCATAGGCAAATACGAGGAGGATAATAAAGACATAACTTTCTCCTAAAATTAGATTTTCGTGATCTCAGTATTTAACTAATTCTACAATAATCCAGTACATATGGTTTTGGATGACACAAGACATCCATATACTATTCTCCCTCTCCTTCGATTTTGAATTTCTTACAATACCATACGCAGTCACCCTCAACTACATTTTCTGATGCAATAGTTTGTTTACATTGTATCAGAAGAAACGTTTCGTTTTTTGTAAATTATTTTCGATAACTTTAAAAATTTGCTCATATTTATAAACTATGATGTAATATCAATTTTACGGATAAAATGTGATAATTAATTGTGGTAGCAAATTATAATTTTATCATCATATCGCACAAAATTGATGACGTACATCATAATATTTACCGCATACCGTTTTTTAGCGTTTGTTTGGCGTACTTCGAAGGCGTTAATAATTTAGTTCTATTTTATTTTTTGTAAGTTTATTTTTTCTGGGAAAACTGCATTGTTTATTTTTTATACGAGTTTTTAGAAACATATGACATTAGTTCTTCGTGATTATTATCTTTAAAATATTATATTAGGTACAATTTGCACTAAGTGAAAAAGCTTTTGGCGAAATTCAGTACGTTGGCGGAAATCGTAAATGCAACCCTTGAAAAAAGGGTTACGCCATTGTTGAAAAAGAATCTGAACGAATAGGAAATATCAATCTTATCTGTACGATGAAAGTCGAAGTGATATCTTTGTGTATGGAAAATATAAAAACGATTATAAGTTGCTATGTTTTTACTGTTTATCTGGCACTTCAAGTTTTATTGTTTCAGTTTAGAAAAATGAAGTTACATTGCGTGTGCGAAAGTTGTAGATTTTGCCGTGAGCCACCAAAAATGAGTATTTTTGTTAAGCCTCGTTACCCATTATGGAATAAGTTGTGAAATTACCCAGTTTACGACTAAACGAATTTTAACTTGGTACTATGGCTTCGATAATAATGGATATTTTGGACAAATTGAAATTACCAGTTAAACGGCCAGAGACTTCTTTACCTAAATTTACTGGTGCGCAGAACCTCATGCAAAGTTATTCTCCAGTGTGTTCAGAATACATTCTTTCTGAAGATTGCCAGGAATCTCTTTATGCTGATAAAGTTTCATTTTTTATGAATATATCTCAAGATTTAACTTCTAAATTTTCATCTCCTCACTGTAATTTAAGTGTGACAGAAAATTCCATTCGTCGTTTTCATCAAGCCTCCAATAATATTCGTTTAAATCATATGAACGATTTGTGTCGTTCATTCTTATATTCTAGAAACTTTCATCCTATAAAGAACGACTTTAGACTTTTCGATTTTAATTTAAGTACAGATTTAAAGAAAGGTCTCAATATTTCTCAATATTCTAATCAAGATCCTGATAGAAACGCCAGTGTTATATTAAATAATAAACCCTTATCCGATATTGTGAAGTCTGAACAAGATTCAGAAATGAAAATTGCACAAAATGGAATAGTTGTTTCCTTACCATTATCAAGTAATGGTATGAATGACATTTGCACAGTAGACAGTAAATGCTTTAATCAAGAGCTTATTAACCGCAAAACGAAAGAATTGCAGAAGCGTTCTAAGAAGAGACGACGACGGCAAAAGAAATGTCGGGAAGCTACCTTGAATGACTGTGAAAGGACTATTTCTGATCCTGTGTTAGCTAAAAAATCAATTTCTAGTGATGAAGTAGATAGTATTCCTGCATGCCTTTTGAAATCTAGTCATGTTCCTAAATCTGATCATTCCAAGCAGAGTGGTAGCTTTATAATTGATATAGTTCCATTAAATGATTGTTCAGGTAATAATTTATTTGGCTCAGATGTCTCATCATTTGTAGTATCTTTAGAGAGTGTCAGTGGTGATGATGATGATTGGGATACTTACGATAATTGCGACATTTTGTCTGATACAGCAGAGTTCGAACAGTCTGGGCTTTTTGCTAGCAATTTGTTATCAAAATCGAATGAGAGCTTCATGCCATCACAATGTGATATTGTAACGTTTGGTCATGATGATGAATTAGAAGAACTTAAAAAATTGACTGCACTTCTAAATAAAGTAAACAAAAGTTGGAGAAAAGCAACTGCAGAAGTTGATGATACACCCAGATTGCCAAGTAAGGTATGTACTATATTGGTTGCTTACATTTTGAAAATAAAGGCTTTTGTCATTATAATTATCAACTAACTATGGCCAACTGGCTGTACAGTGGTAGTTAAACTATGGCTTCTCTCATGAATGTAATTCAATTTTCCTTTAATACAAGCAAGTGATCGTACTAGGCAGGTATCCCTTCTGACAATCCAATCAGTAATAACGATATGTGTATATGAGCCAGTTTCCCTTAGAAAGTTCTCCATAAAGGCATCCATCCCCTTAGGCAGATAACCCTTGAGGCTTTGCCATAATCGCTTTAAACTAAATCAGTAATAACGGTATCCCAATCTGTGTAGCAATGTTAAGTTTTTCCTATTTCAGCCATCTTGTATAGTTTAATTAGTCATGAACATAATGGATGAAACTAAATTATGGCCAAACCATTACAACTGTCTGGATGTGGGGAGAGATGCAGACATTCATATTGTAATAGAAAAACGTGTAGTCCATTCTGTTAAATGAATGAAAACTGGACCAGAAGCAAAGTACCAGTCTTACCTGGCTTTATCCTCTCAGTGCAGAATTAGAGAGTAAAATCAGTTTCTTTGTAATTTTTAAAACATTTAGATTTTGGCTTATTTTTCTCTAATATAAAACTATTCTATAATTTAATTAGATTTATCAGAAGCATTTTGTGTCTGCTGAAATTCGAGGGAAAATTTTATTGTTAATTATTCCCAAAATGTGTTTTGTAGGTTCACAAAGATCAGTGATTGAAAAAAAAAATATATATTGAAACTAGCAGCTTCGCTGACAGCCTTCGTCTGGCTTTTAAATGTACTGGGAAAATTGGCTGAAGGGAACACCAACTTAATTTAAAACGCGTAGCATTTACTCTGCAGATTACCACTTCCCTTTCAAATCTAAGAATTCAAATGTATAAAGGAGGTTAAAATTTGTTTCCTAAAAAAATCACTCAAAATTATGAATAGTAAAACAGTGAAATGACAATAAAAACATAAAAGAATACAAAAACAAAAAATCTGAAACAAAGTATAATTAATGATATTTTATCTTATATTTTCAAGAGAAAAAAATTAATAATAACTATATCCCCTTATACAAATTAATTCCTAATAAAAAATTAACCACTTACCGTTTGAAAAAAAAGATCATGCAAAACTTTTTCTATCTTACACAGTAAATAAGCAAAAAATAACATGAAATCAACTAAAAAACATAAAATTTGAGCGGAATTTACTTTGCCAGAACAACTTACAAAAATCAAAAAATATATTACATTATATAAAAATGACATGAATATGCCATCTCTCAAAACAGTGAGTAAGAATCGATGAAAATTGTGCCAACCCATATTTTCTAAAAGAATGAACATCAAATATGCGATTTCATCAAAAACAACAACAATAAGACTTAAAATTGCAAATACATGTAAAGATGTGGAAGTGTACTTGAAGCTTCATTTAAAAATTCTTTAAAAATACAAAATATTATCATTTTCAAAATTCTTTTTGTAAAACATTCGCAGTATAAAAGTTTAATGTGTCCAAAATCAAGAAAAAAAATATTTAGAAAAAATCATGTTGAAAGGTGTACGCTCCCTTTGTTAAATGAATTCGTATTACTCGATTTATGAAACATAATTTTTTAAGTTCATAAATCTAAGTGCCTCGTTCATGACGATTGAAATGGGTGTGTAAAATCTCGCTTTCCGGTACCATATGTCTCAAATGATGCGAATTCGTCAAAAACATAAATAAAAAAATTCTAATCGAATTCGAAAAATTGCTTCTAGGTGCACGACTGGGCGTGTCTAATGCACCTATGTACCAAATTTGTAGTCGTGGTTATTAGCTTACGCGCAGCCGTACGAAAGACACACACCAGACAGATCTGTTTATTGTATGAGAGATATTCTAAAATACAAATTTCCTTTATGAAAATATTCTAAAAATATTTTATTAATTGATAAATGCACCAAATAGTCAAAATACTTATGGTAATGTCCATTTTTATATTAGGTATTACAATAAATCTTGGGTGTTCTAATCATGAATTTTAAAAACAGTAAGAAAATTGCTGCCTTGACCATAGATTGTCTTTTTATTATTATTATTATCTAGTAGTCGTAGGACATAAGATTACATTCAGGGCATTTAAATTTCTGTTTGATTTTCAAAGGAACATAAATTACATTCAGTCGGGCTTTAATTCTGTTTGATTTCACAATCTCATTTCTTAAATTTTTGGAATTTTAACACGTGAAGGATTATACTGTGATTTAAAAATCATTGTAACAGTATTTTGGCGACATTTTGGTACGGTGATGAGGTTAATTTACTAGCTAGGCTTAAGTCAATATCTGAGAAGTACCCAGTGCAATCACAGATTATTTTGTCTCAGAGAAATGGAGATCATGAGACCTTAATGTGACATTTTCCCCTCAAAATTCGATCATGATTTTAGCTAAGAAGCCTCGAACAATTTTCGCTGCTAACGTGGCAGATGCCCCTATTTGTTTGGCGCTTTTTCAAGAGTAAGAAGAATGGGTTCTCTGTCAATTTCTTTGACTTTTAAGTGGAAATAGGTCAGTGTACTATAAGTTGGAGGTGCACAGTGCCATTGTTTGCAGTTCGGCGGTATTTTTTAAAGTGAAAATAGGTTGACGTGTCCAGGGATACCGTGTATTGCATTCTGAAAAGCAAAGCAGTTTGCATTCTGCACTTTCTTCTCCAATTTCGCTAATCTTCTCATGATTAAGCAGTTTGTTCAAAAAGTTTCTGTATATCGTAATTCGTCTAGCAGATTGTTGGAAAAAATGTTGAGTTAAAAAAAAGAAAAAAAAGCTTTTAATTCGTGAAAACAAAATGCCGTCCAAAACAAAATTAGCAGGTTTCTGTAGCACAGTTGGTCGCCAAAAAATCGACAATTTACCATAATGTAAAGATTTACCAAAAATCCATCATTATTAGGAGCCACCCGTTAGCTAAAAAATTAAATTTGCAGATAAGCTAGAGATTCCAGAAGAATGATGTCTGAAAGGTTAATTCTTCAGTCTATCGGATGATCAAAATTCTGTGATGAAGTTTGATGTTAGGTAAGAATATACAAGAAATATGACTTCTGCATCAGATTTCGGAAAAGACTGTAATGAGGTGTCGAAGTGCAATTATATGTAAATGTATGGAAATTCTTTTTTAAAATGTTGACTATTTCTGTAATAATTTTTCCATTTTTGTTTATGGTGCAAGAAAAAAATGAGACAGAGAATAAGGCACCAATATTGGCTAAAGTGCAGAATCGCCCACTTATTTATTTGGCGCTATTTACAAGAGTAAGAAGAATTGGATTTTTGTCAATTTTCCAGAATCGTCCACTGCTTGGCGCGTTTTTAACCCCTTCCCTTACAAATTTTTTTGAAAAAAATTTCAAAAAATCATACATTTTTTTTATTTATATTAAATACACAAAACGAAACCAACAAATATGTAGTTTTAAGTTGAATTTTTAGTTTTGAAGGTGTAAAAGCATTTATTTTTAAATATTAGTTACTATCGCCGATTAACTTGGGCAAACGAAAAAAAGTTAAATATTAATCTTTGTATGATCTTTTGAAAATGGAGCCAGAATAGTGATTCTGACTTTCTACACTGGTATCTGCCCTTTTCATTACTGTCTTATTACCGCTGGAATCTTCACGGGGAGCACAAGTACACTTTCTCGTTGGATTTGATTTTTTGGGGGGGGGGGGATTTTGAAAAATCATTGCTTTCGCTATCTTCCATCAGTGCTATTATTTTATTTTTTTTTTCTAACTCTGCATCCTTCTTTGTACATTACTAATTCCCCAAGCAGCGTATATAACAATAGGGAAACACATGATCAAGCCTCCAAAAACCCTGCAACCAACAAAATTTTGTGCAACCTCCAATCAAGCTGACTTTTCCTTCATTTCCCCAGACCGAGTAAAACCGTGATAAAAGCTCAGGATAATAATTAACTGCAACAGATACGAACCTGAGATAACTCAGGATAATCAGGCAAGCGGTTAAGAATTGCACATACTCTGTATCCATGTACACATCGACCTATTTTTTCACTTCTATAAACATCCCAGAATTGCACAAAAATGGCATTGTGCACTCCCTTGACTTTATCCATGTGCACAACGACCTATTTTCACTTAAAAAGTCAAAGAAAATTGACAAAAATCCACCTCCCTTGATTTTATTCATGTACACATTGACCTATTTTCACTTGAAAAGTCAAAGAAAAATGACAAAAATCCAATTCCTCTTGTAAAAAGCACCAAACAAATAAGTGGGCGATTCTGCACTTGACCCAAAAATTGTGTTGAGCAAAACAAGTTGAGAACTAATAAAGAGGTAAATGGGTTATTAAAAATGGGTTATTTTCAAATCATCAGCAGAGGGTCCTTTGCACCCCATGTGGTCAGCTAGTAAGTTGACATATAAAAATTACAGACTTAAAAGTAACAAACAATTATTTATGAAATAATGAAACAAATATGACTTAATCATAATTTACAAAAACAGCTTAATATTTATTTATTTTATTAAAGATTTCTTTCAGTGTAAGTTTTTAAGCTGTTTAAGTTTTTGTGCTAATATTTTCTTTCTAATTATAGGTATTTTTTGTTCAAATATATTGTTTTGTCTGTTAACTTGAATTTACATGCATTAAAAATCACGTTTACTGCGGATAAGCTGCGAGTTTGGCGAGGAGAAATGGAACGCCGCCAACGGGTTCTCTGCGGATGAAAACCCTTAACTTCCATCAGTATCTGCAGCGATATTTTCTGCATTTACTACTGTACTAAAGATTTTGTTGGTTGTTAGTTGATTGCTTATTGGGGTATTGTTATCGCAATAGAAAATTTCTGTTTATGTCATCTTCATTTATTATCATTCATCTATATTTTTCACAAATTTCGTTAATTGGAAAATTTCACGTTTATAATGTTCAAAATTTATGCTAAAGTT